AGCAATTAGCGCACTAACCGTTCTGCGCCTGAGTATGGTAGGCAGTGAGCGCGACTGAGTTCGGCAAGGCAGCAGCTGACTACATTTGAAACGCGCTCCAAGCCGACGAATGCCTGAGTGTAAGATCGCGAGGCAAAACAAATTGAACCAAAATTAAGGGAAATCAGTTTTTTACCTGATTAACTGCCATGCGTAAAGATTTAATTTTCACTTCGTATATAGAATTTCAGACTCCCGCTCGTATTATACAGACGACATTTATTACAACTACATTTAAGAGTTGCATGGTCTTCTGGAGAAACTGGGTCGATTAGTTTCGGTTTGTGGTCAATAGAGGAGGTCCTATATTATGGCAAAGCTATTTCATTCTGGAAAATTGAATTTTTCGAATTGAAACTACAGTATATTTTGGGGCAGTAAGCCAGACCCTGGTCGGCTAACAGAGGTGCACGCACGTTCTTTTTTTCTTAACTATCAAAGATAAAAGAAGACACCATGTAGGCATAAAAAATTATTTCCACTAATACAGTTTCAGTTATTTTATTTCACTTTTTTTTCTAGCAGCCAACGTTTTGCCCCAGGGTATGTTACAAGAATGCAAATTTTACGCCAGTACTTCATTCTAAACAAATAACACGCTCAATTTTCAAACAAACAGACCATGACAATGACTTCCGCATCCAATTGTTTTAGTAAATTCTTTAGTAAAATTCGAAAATTTTGTAAGAAGGCTTTATTAACTCGTGCATCATTCATTTTATTCCTAGTATCTTTGGCTATCTTAAAAGATGAAATTTACAAAATTAAAGGGCATGACTGCGAACACCATATTGCGTTTTGAATGTTTTTAGAAGGCTTAAATCGAGAACTTGCCACGTTTAAATTGGGAATAATTAATACTACAGACCCATTGAAGCATGCCACTCGCGACAGGCAGAAACGACGACAATTTTAGACTGGGTCCTGTTTGAAATGATATTGTTCTTAGGTTACTTGAGATGTGTTTCGCGTTAAGAGAAAACAAAGTTGCGGTAACTGAAGAGAAATGCGTAGAAGAGCGCATATTGAGTAAAACAAGTATACTATGTACAACCCAGGTCAGGTCTACTCGTAAAACTCAGACTTCTCTCGGAGTGGCCGTCTACATCATATAATAAAGCTACTATAAAACAGAAATCGAACACAGTAAAATTTCCACACCACCCTCGTTACACCTTACCCCACCTTTGCTTCTCGCCGCCATCTCTCCTCTCTCTACCCCAGTCGAAATCACTTTTTTGTAAAACGTGGTCTGACGAGAAAATTATTATGCATGCGAAGGAAACAAAGTGAAAATTGCTTTACAAAACAAGCAAATTTCTTCGAAATATCGGGACGTTTGAAGAACCGGGGTAAAACTACTGTGTTTGACTGGTGAAGGGAATTTAGGTTTGGTTCAAAATATCGGGAATTTAAAAAAACAAAAACCGAGAGTTTGAGATATCGTCATTCTACTGTACTTCACTGATAGCTCTGAACAGTAATATGCGAGATGACTTGAAGAGTCCACTTCTCGCTCAACCAGAAGTTGCATGAAGGTTAATTCATTGTCGTTTCTTTGCTTTGACCCTTGAATTTTCTGCCAGGAGACGAACGCTTGATAAATGGATCACTGGAAGGTATGTATTCAATAGTTTTCGCATGTTGAAACGTCGACGGAGCCTATAAATGTCTGCTCTGTTCTAGTCAGTTATCTAGTCTGTTCTTACTACAGATTTCTCAATCCAATCGTGTAGAAACCGCATTCGCATCACTCAGTTTCTGATTCCTTTCAATGGCATTTCGATTTTACATTTTTAATTTTAAACTTCGGAATACAAAAATGTAGAATTTCATAGCATAGTCCCTATTTCAAACGTATAAATCAAGACTGAAGTTGACCATGTGTCCAATCAAAGATAAAACAAGAAAAAAAATAAAAGTGAGGTTAAAAAGAACAATTAAATATAGCACAGTTTTCAAAACTCGACGTATACCGGCAGAGAAATTCTAATCGGGACTAGAAATTAAAGTGATCGACAAAAAAAGGAGCCACGCGTCATAAAAACCATACATGTTCGTAGTCTTTTTTCCTCAGTTTTCCTCAAACCATCATCCCAATACATACCATTATGAAAGGGTTACGTCGCCAAGTAAGACGAAGAATGAACGGGTCAGAATCTGAAGAAATATTAAATGAAAAATCGTCCAATAAAAGGACAGCAAATATATACCATCGAGCACGAAAAATCTTCAAGAGATGGGTTGTTAAAGAGAGATTTCAGGTTATGTGTGACTTTTGAAGCAGATCTGGAGTGAGAGCTGACGTGTAATAAGATTTAGAAGTTCCACGACTTTCGGATCTTTCATTGCGTTTACATTTAGTTATGAAAAGTGTTTTCACTCAATAATTTGCGACTCAAACCAATTCTGGATTGGTAACGCCACATGGAAATTGAGAAAGGTGTTTCGTTTAATAATCTCCTATAGCCGATGATTTCTTCCTCCGATCGTAAAGAGACAACGAGAGTGCAGTAACAATGTTAGAGAGCAAACTAAATAAATAATTACAAAAACAGGGAATTTCTTCCTTTTTTCCAAGTCCAAGGTATAGATCCATGATTACCCTACATGTACGCTGTGGCTCGCAGTAAAAGATGCCATTTCATTGGATGAATCAGTGACAAAACAAACACTACAGCCAATGGCATTGCTCGTTGGAACATAGGTACAATGTTCTCTAAACTTGTTTCTACGAGCATAGAATGATTCATGACTATCACAAAATAGTCGGAAACAAAGACAAGACAAGAATTTTAAGGCTGAAAAACGAACAGAGTAGGTTTTTATATTTTTACTTAACCATGGATTCTTCAAAAGTTACGTTACGTATTAATCACAATTTTCCTATTTCTCTGCAGTCCATTGAGTTGTCTACTGAGACACTGTGGGTGGTGGAAATCTTAGAGGTAAGTTGAATGCCTCATAATAAACCGTGTCAGTGTGAAGTTTTGAAGAACATCTCCGTCGACTTTTTTAGAAAATGTTTTAGAAATAAACTCGTCAAAAGGCGAATATTTTAAGAATCGTTTTCGTCTAAAACTTATTAATCCTCCCAAAATTAAGCCTCTCGCGATCTGATTATAATTTAGCCTCTCGTTGTATTAGGGTCACTCTCGAGAGTGAAATCAGTTAAAATTCTTTCACTTAAACAGTGCTTACACACTTTACAGAGAATTTTTTTTTCAGATTTTTCAAATGTTTTAAAGCTAGCTACCGTATGTTAATCAGTTAACATATGATGGTCAGTCCAACAAAAGAGCACGTTGCAGTAGTTTTGAATTTGTACAAAAAATCCAGTCAAGGGTATTTTCCAGAACTGACTGAGCTACTTCAAGGAATCAAAAGCGTCAGAGATAAGATTAAGGGAAAAAAACCGAGGATATCTTTTGAGAATTTCACTGTCTGTGTCAGTTGGGCCCCTCTACACAAGAACCTGTCATTTATGTACTAAGAACCTGTTTAGGCTAAACTGGGAAAATGCAGCTTCTTTAGTCGCAGTTTTTACTGAATAGCCTCTAAAGATTCTTAAGAACAATTACACTGATAAATATTTTGAATGGCAGATTTGTCGCATGCAAAATTTTCAAAAAATTACATGTGCAGATATTAATAAGAACGATTGTCTTCATGGCTCGTTAAATTAACACGTCAGTGTCCTTCAAACTTGGTTCAACTTGTATCACAAAGGAAGTTTAAAACAGTTCTGGCCTGTTTACAAAATAATTGCTTAACGTCATGGAGCCTTCCAACTCGTTTTAACTTGCAACTTAAATAAAACAAAAGGAGTGCATGACTTCTTTCAGTTGAGGGTCAGTTAAGACTGACTGATTTACATTTAACCAATAGGAATACTTTTAGTAACTTCCATTTAACAATCTTTCAAACTTGTCTAAAACACGTTTTTATGTAAAATTGGTCAAAATAGGACATAAAAACCTTCGTCCTGTCAAAAAAATTATCATCCCTCTTCGGATCACTACAGTCATACATACAAGCAAGGTAGGACTTGAGTCAAAGTTTCCAACAGTAAAATCTTTCATATCAAACTAATATACTTAGTTTAATTGAACGATTGCTTGGAGCTCTTTTCAGTCTGGTTTCAATTTGAACTGTTTATTTTCACAAAAGATTAAATGTAAGGCTCTCTGCTACGAGCCTTGTTTTTGTTGTGTGTTTTTTTTTTGTTTGAATATTGCTTAGCAGTCGCTAACGTTCTATCATAAGCGCTAAAATCTTAAGCGAGCGTTTCAACATAATGTCGAAGAGTTTTAAGCGTCCGTGTAAGTCAGACATATAATTGCAAGGACATGGTAATGTTCTCAAGTAATGCAAAAGGACGGCCTGAAATTGATGAATGAAACTGATTTTTTTTTCTCTCCAAAACAAATAATGACTTCGCCACAGATCATCAATTCGCGTTGCTTGTTATCCGCATTTTGAAAAAAAAAATGTTAGCAAATCATTGAAAACGATGCTTTTTTAAAGAATATTTGGCTATGATTTTGAGCGTTTTCCTGTTTTCACAGGTTTCCTCATCATGCAAACCGTTATGAAGATACTGCTGGCTACTGTGTTATGTGTGCTGCTCTTACTGCTGGTTACCTTGTGTTCTGCAAATGACAACAACAGCAGCAAACCACGTGACAAGGTGTGTTTTTAAACAAACATTGAAATATATAGCTTTAATATATGAGAAGTGAAGTTCAGTTGATCCTTCTTGAACTATTTAACCTGAAAGAACTTAGTGAGGTAGAATGAATGAACGGTGATTTTTTTATGTAAGGATGCTTGACTGACGTTGATTGATTGACTTAATCGAGTGATCATAAATTAAAACGGAATGAATTTTTAATTTTCTATTTAGAGTATTCCACAACAGACTTCACCTTATGGTTCCTGTGGTTATGGTGGGTGTTTCTGTGCACCAGGAATTCCAGGCATCCCAGGAAGCCCCGGACCCGCGGGACCAGCAGGTACCGCGGGATCACCCGGCAATCATGGACCTGAAGGACCCATGGGCCCACGAGGAAAGAAAGGCGATGAAGGAGCCCGTGGAAGACTGGGACCACCAGGCGTCAAAGGAGTTAAAGGACCTGCAGGCCCAGCAGGTCCACGTGGGGACAGAGGTGAAGCAGGTTCAGCTGGTTCCCCTGGAAACAAGGGTGATACAGGTGCTCGTGGAAAGCAAGGTCCCCCTGGCCCCAAGGGACCTCAAGGACCGTCAGGTTCAGCTGGTTCCCATGGAAACAAGGGTGATACAGGTGCTCGTGGAAGTCAAGGTCCCCCAGGTCCCAAGGGTGCTTCAGGATCGTTTGGTCGTAATTGGAAACAATGCGTATTTAAGAAGGAAGATGGAAGGGACTCCGGATTGATAAAGGTAACAACTGAGTTGGTCGTTCTAGATTATAAAAATCGATTCGAAGCAAATTAATAAGTCCGGTTAATAAGTCCGATTTAAAAACTCATCAATAATTCGTAAAGAAAAAAGAAAAGAAATTAATTTTTAATGAGTGTCTTTATATCTGATAAAGACAAGGCTAAACTTTACGTCCAATTTTATTAGACCAAAATAACCCCAAATCTAAATATTAGTGCAAGAGTGAGTTGATCTATAAAAGAGATTTTGAAGTCGTTCAGAAAACTCGCGGTCATGTTTTTTCAGGTTTAAAAACTTGAGGCAAGTCATTTGAGAAAGAAAAATGCGTGTTTCGGAACTTGTGCGAGCTATCCATGGAATGATACAAAATGCAGGGAAAAATTTCAATTTATCAGTTTAAGATATACTTATGTTTTTGTCTGAATTTGAGTGAAATTCGCAGGGGCGTAGAACCCTCAACGCAAATACGCACGTGCGTACTTGAGAAATTGGTAGGATTTTTTAAAGATTTTCTGTCATAAGTAAAAGCCATTTGTAGCGTCGTGACTTGACTTTGTATTGTGTAGATTTGTTCCTGTCTGCTCGCTGTTGTTACGCATCGTTTTTACACCTAAAATACAATAGTTTGACTTCTCTAGTGGATTGTGTTAAATTCGAAACGTTCTTGAAATGTTTGCCTTCAGGCGATCCCACAATACATTGCGTGTTCATGGAAAACGGAAAAGAATTTCGGTTCACCTCGCTGATCTTTCTTCTTTTGGCCATTTTAAAGGAGTGCATTTTCAAGAAAGCATCAGCCACTACTGGATTGCGCGTCTTTTGGAGTGGCACTCTTCGTCTCTACAACTGCCACGCATGCTGCAGAAGATGGTATTTCACTTTCAATGGTGCAGAGTGTTCAACACCAGGTTCCATTGAGGGTGTAGTCTACATGGTACATGGACATGGCGCGAAAAAGGACTTACACCGTGTACGTCACATTGAAGGAGTCTGTGAGAAAATCCACAAGGGTACTGTTCGCGTGGGATTCTGGGTCGGTAATTGTGCTGGTTACGGATCTGCTGATGCAGATACAGGTTGGAACTCAGTGTCCCGGATATACGTGGAAGAAGTACCTCCCCCACAGGCTTAATAACACCAAAGCCAAAGTTTTTGTTTCACTTTGAACGATAACCATGAACAGAGTAATATTTCGGGGGTAATCAGTAAGCAAACTGAAGTAAATTTTGATTATTAGAGCCAGGGGTTTAGGTTTCCGCATTAAATCTCTTTTAAAAGTGCAGGGTTTCAAGCTCAGAATCTTACATTACATGCTACAAGGTGACAAGAATGTTTGAGCGACTTTTTGTTATCTCAATAAACAAAAGAGCTTTAAAATAAAATAAATTGCGTGAAATATACTACCCTCCCGACCTTTATTTTCCCTTTGTTATCTTCTTCGTGATTGAGTTTGGTTTATCATTTAAGATTATTTTTCTGTGCTTATATTTTACAATTAAGTATACACAAGACAGCAGCGATTAGTTTAATCTTCAGCTGATGGTGCTAAAAAAGGGGCACTCAACGACCGACCCTGTTTGGTAAACTTGGAGGTGTCCAAAACACTATTTATCTATTTGGATCTCTTAGGGGAACTTTAATCGTCTCGAAAGTTTGAGGTGGCTTTTTTGTCTCATCTGAAACTGTTAGCTACCCTGATGGGTCCGATCGCAAATTTGAGAACATGGAGTAGCCGCACCTTGAATAATTTTTACCGAAATATTTGGGAGACCATTTTAAACACAATGATCGCGCGCAATATCTTGGTAATAAAATGTGAAAAACGCAAACTCCTAAATTCATTGAAAAAAATCGTATGAAACCGAATATTTTAGATGAATGTAACTTTTCTCCACAAAATTCTAGCCTTTCCCGAGCTTAAGAAAGATTTGCAGGCATTATTTTCTCTTTGGAACCGAAATTTGGCTAGAATTTCATTTTGAAAATGCAGCCGTGGGACTGTCGTTGCAAAATGCTAGTGATAATTTTGCACGTAAAGACCTAAAACTGAGCTGGTATGAAGAATAAGGTTACGGAAATAAGACCGCGATAATATAATGCTGAATTCAGAACAGAGAAAAGTCTTTCACACTAAAATTTTAGCCACAGCCGCTTCGCCGCGGATGCCAAACCTTTACTCAGGAAATCAAATTGTTTCTTGACCTTATTCGCTTAATGAGGCAAAATATTCGACTGTCAGGGATTTTTTGTCCGATGTGGTAACATTTGAGTCTTCAGGTAAATTTATTCATTTGTTGGGGAAAAAGAAAAGTGTTTGACGTGAGATCAAAACGGTTTACTAATTGAAGAAATATTGGATCGGTAACTTTTGCGCATTCCCGAACTGTAAAAGCTACAATTTAGCATCTGGAACACTGAAGCTGCAGCATAGTCCCCCACTCAAAAAGGAACTTTTTGGCTTAACAGAAGAGCTGCCTTTTGGCTTGACAGAAAACGGCTTGGCTAGCATCAAAAGATGTGTAATTCGGAAGGTGAACAACCTTGGATTTGGTTTAATCTTTTGAACTCATATCTATGATGATCAACAAAATAACAAAAATACATTTGTATGGTCTTAAGTATAGAACTAGGCGTACACTTTTCCAGAAAGTTATCATTACCTACCACGCATTAAGCCACACGGATTAATTTATACCTGAAAAAATATACATCTGTTTTTTTTAGTATAATTACAAAGACTATTGAGGAAGAGAATGGACCATAACAAAAAGTTAAAAAATAAAGCCAGGGTTATTAAATATGTTCTGCAAGTGTCCAAACGTAGTAAAGAATTCCTCCCACTCTTATTGGATCAGTTTAGTTTTCTGGGCAACCGAGCTCGATACGAGTTTATCGAGCTCGATATCTCAACCGGCCTCGATATGTCGATACCGAGCTCGAGGCCTCTCACTTTTCGGATCAGTTTAGTTAAGTTATCTGGGCGGATCATTAGTTATCTGGGCAACCGAGCTCGATACGAGTTTATCGAGCTCGATATGTCAACCGGCCTCGATAAACAAATCGAACTCAGGAAACCGAGCTCGATACGGGTTTATCGAAGTCGATATATCAACCGGCCTCGATGAACAAATCGACCTCGGGAAACCGTCCTCGATATGTCGATACCGAGCTCGAATTGTCGAGGACGGTGAAGCAAGGACTCTCACTTTTCCGGGGGGACAAGTAGAATGTTATCGAGCTTGATAAGCCTCACTATCGCGCTCGAGTTCTCGTAACCGCGTTTAAATTGACCGAGCTCGGTTTACGGATATCCCGGTTTACGTTAATCGTAGCTAATCGAGCTCGGTCGCCTAGAACTAGTTTTCTGGGGCGGGGGGGGGGGGGGGGGGAGGGAGAATTGTCGAGCTCTGTCTCATGCAAGTCTTAGTAAGTCCTGGATTACCGATATGAGTGTTTAAAATTTTCATTGAAACTAGCCAACCGTGGCCAAACCTTTAATTAACCTTTTAATTTAATTAACCTTTAGTTAATGCCGAGATATTATTGAACTGTCCCCAGTTGTTCACAAGATGGACAGCGCTATCGACCGGATAAATAGCTAAACGGTGAAAACCAACGTCACTGCCACCATCCCGGGGATGGTTTATTCTTTATCCGGTGGGTAGCACTATCCACCTTTTGAACCACTGGAGCCTGCTCTTTATTAACAACACGAAGACGTCGATGTTATTATGATCTTGTATAAGTACATTTTGACTTTCATCACTTGGGCTCAAAACGATGACAACATACGAAATACAGACAGGAATTTTAAGTGATAATTTTCTATTACAATAAGTGTACAATAACAGTTTGCTACTTCCGCTATGTAACACGATCAATCGGTTTTTGATAAAAATTGAAAAGACAACGTAAATGCAACTCATGTAATAAACACTTTATTTTTAAATTATAAGAAGGCTGCATCATTAGACTTTAAAAGCCTTAAACTCCGTATTTTCTAAGCTTGGGGCGGGCTAAAGGCAAAGACACCAGCAGTGACTGACCGCTACAAAAAAAGGAGGGGCATTAGCGAATGTAGAGAAGTATCGTATCGTTTCGTTTTCATAAACTGCATCAACTTCGAAGTTGTGAGAAAAAAAAGGTTTAACGCTGCAAGCGGTTTCTTACTTTCAGTGCTTGTAATTGCCAGGCAATACTCATTTTCAAAAATGCGGTAAGATCCACTATCCCAGTACCGTTTTATATCAGGGCTTTCGAGCGAAACAGACTCTATGACAAATAATTAAAGGTTTGGCCACATTTGGCTAGTTTCAATGAAAATTTTAAACACTCGTATCGGTAATCCAGGACTTACTAAGACTTGCATGAGACAGAGCTCGACAATTCTCCCCCCCCCCCCCCCCCCCCCCGCCCCAGAAAACTAGTTCTAGGCGACCGAGCTCGATTAGCTACGATTAACGTAAACCGGGATATCCGTAAACCGAGCTCGGTCAATTTAAACGCGGTTACGAGAACTCGAGCGCGGTCGAGCTCGATAACATTCTACTTGTCCCCCCGGAAAAGTGAGAGTCCTTGCTTTACCCTCCTCGACAATTCGAGCTCGGTATCGACATATCGAGGACGGTTTCCCGAGGTCGATTAGTTCATCGAGGCCGGTTGATATATCGACTTCGATAAACCCGTATCGAGCTCGGTTTCCTGAGCTCGATTTGTTTATCGAGGCCGGTTGACATACCGAGCTCGATAAACTCGTATCGAGCTCGGTTGTCCAGATAACTAAACTGATCCAGTAAAAGCAAAAGAACTCAATGTTTAACGACCGTCTCTATGTCTGATAAAGACACGACTAAACTTTACGTCCATTTTTTTAGGTTAAAAATAATCCCAAATCTGATTATTAATGCATGAATGAAATCTGTATCAGAGATTTTGAAGCCGTTCGAAAAACTCGCAGTCGTGTATTACCAGGCTGAAAAATTCTTGGCTTCGCCTCGAGTTTTTAAACCTGATAGTACATTACCTGCTCGTTTTTTAAACAGTTCACATCAAATTATGAAATACTAAAAGTTGAAGTGAGAGAGGTCTTTCCAAATATTGATTTTCTCTTCTCGTACAGTTGTAGCTGCAAGGTTTGGCCCAAAAGGTAGCATATTTTCTTGAATAAATAAAAGTGTGCCTATTAACATCGCCACACCCGGGTGGAATGAATATGAAGAGAAGGTTAAACGGCTCCCCACAAAATGAGGCTGACCCGGAGGGTGAGGGGGAAAATACAGCCAGGTGTGTTATTACCTTGATTATAGCTCTAGTGCTATTAAAGTCATTAAAAACCTACGATAAGTTTGCAGTTATACTTGATAGATACATTAGCAGGTAATGCAGTACATGTTTTGGAAGTACTTAGTTTATAAAAGTAATACCAGCCCCTCCACTCCTCATAGCGGGGAAATCCGAATGTCACAAAAAAACACTTGATTTCATTGTGAAATGATGCCAGACCAAGAGAAAGGATTTCGTCCAATGCCTTACATTTTAAACGACCGATTTTTTAGTTACAAATCCCTAATAAGTATAGAAAAACCAACTACGTCATCATTACAACGTTATCCCTCTTTTGTGACAACTGGGGCCTGAAGACCCCTGAACCTTTTAAGATTACATACCGCCGAAAGTACAATTAATATAAATTAACACGCATGCATTGGTTTTAAATTGAAAACGTTATTGTAGGATGTCTAAAGAGAAAAAGAATCATTTTATTCTTTCTTTATGAAAAGCATGGCGGCATGCATGAGGCGGGGCAGGGGGGTTCTAAAAGGACTAGTCATGTGGGTGGCTGACGGGAACATTATTTTTATTTAGATAAAGAGCAATCAGGGGACACCTTTTGACAAATTATTATCTAAAAACCTGTTTGATGGATTCGACATAAATAGACAGCACCTTAGTTGCAGTGAGTGTTCAAACTAGCTGGCGTTCTAGCAATTGAATTATAAGAGCAGTCAGCAGCCTCTACCTATTGTTTTAATTCGACTGATCCAGGATGATACTGTGAGATTAAGAGCAAGATTGACATAGCAACAGTACTTATCTCCAAAGAAGAAAGCTGTGACGTTTAATTTGAAAAGT